ATGATCAACAGGTCTCTGTCTAAATTGTTTGCCGTTCCCCTCTAGTGGCGCCAGGTTACCTAAAAACCCTACATCCTAAAAATTGCTTAGGCTTGCCGACGACACACCTGTTTCGCCGGCGAGTTCGGACAAACCTGTTTCAGCGATCTCCGCTGCAGAGGAACGGAGCTTGAACACGACGGAGGAAATCCAGAACCTCGCCAATTTCATTTGTGACATGGAAGTCCATCACCCAGATCTGCTACGAGCCACTAGGTAGACCCAATTGGGATGTTGTGCATTTTTCCGTGTAGAGTTCAAGAAGATGTCCTAAAAGTTTTCAGAGAGGGAAGTAGAGGGACAACCGAGGCCACTTTGCCGTCCAGTGCCTTGCGCTGCTTCGGAAACTTACTCAGCCAATATTTGAACTTTCATTTTTCTGGGTTTCCTTAATCAAAAATAAGAAACCCTAGACCCTAAACCCTAAACCCCTAAACCCTTTTTTTCCCTTAGTCAGTGGAGAAGTAAGGAAAGGCATTGCAGAAGAACTTCCGAGGCGACTTGCATCACGTGAGCTTCCCAACGCAGACTCTTTGTCACAGTGGGGGGGGGTAACATTTTGCATTTTGCACCAGAAATTTAGATTTTTTTCTACTATCCCAACACTGAACTAGTTTTAAAGGTACTTAAAACTCAAGAAGGAATGGAAAGTTAACATTTTGAGGGTTTAGGGTTTAGGGTTTAGGGTTTAGGGTTTAGGGTTTAGGGTTTAGGCTCTGACCCATGAAAACTAGGACTATCCAATGCTTCTGGAGCCATTCGTGGCACGGTTCGGCCTGGATGAAGATCCTCTTCCTCCTGGTCTCTTGGTAGCCCAGTGGTAGGTTTAGGGTTTAGTGTTTAGGGTCTAGTGTTTAGGGTTTAGGGTTTAGGGTCTAGGGTTTAGGGTTTAGGGTTTAGAGTATCCACCCCAAAAAGGGTGCCCCTGTTATGATCTGGTTGCTGCTGGGCTACTAAGGTCTACTACAACGGGCGAGCGGCCTTGGTCGCCGGCTCCCTCTCGGCGTTTCTGGGTCTGACCCTCTTCTTCTTCAGACTTTTGCCAGGCGCCAGGGCGACTCAGTCCTAAACCCTAAACCCTAAACCCTAAACCCTAAACCCTAAACCCAGAAGCCCTAAACCCTATCACCCTAAATGGGGAGGTTTTCTAAATCATGGTTCATTTTGGGGAGCCTAGTAAGATTCGGGGGCCTTACGTATATGGGGTACCCAGAGAGGAGCGTCCAGAATGTAGAGCATCTCACGAATCCAAACCCGACACCCCTGTTCGTGCCCTCCTGAGTTTGATATTAGGGTTTAGGGTTTGGGGTTTAGGGTTTGCCCCCTCCCTTGCAGCCCCCTGCAGTATATTCGCACAGTAGATACATAGTATATATATAAATAAATGAATAAAGAAAAATAAGTAACTAAACAAATAAACATATATATATATATATATGTGATCTTTATGTTTTGTCATATTTTTTGTTTATTCATATTCGGGGTACCCCCCTGGCGCAAATACATGAAGAAGGTCTTAGGGTTTATGCCACATCTTCACATCTTCGAGAGCTGCACACATATGGGATCCTGGCATACAATGCTCAGCCAAGGAACCCTAAACTCCAAACTCCCAGATCGAAACCCCAAACCCTCCTAAACCCCAAAATCCAAACCCTCAACCCTCCGAAGCACAAAAGTCCACGCTCCAAATCCTGAACCCCAAGCTCCAAACTTAAGCCCAAAACCCTAAACCCTAAGCCCTAAGCCCTAAACCCCTCAACCCCAAACCAGACCCTCAAGGTACCCGGCGAGAGTTTTCTCTCGAGGGCGCCACCTACGATTTCGGCCCATGGGGGCTGGGTTTTGGCTGCCTTGCCTCGGGCATCTCGGTAGCCCTAAACCCTAAACCCTAAACCCTAAACCCTAAACCCTAAAACACCCTAAAACACCCTAAACACCCTGGGATGTTCCCCCCTATACGAACAGTCCTTTCTAGGGATTATACGAGCATAAGGGAGAGCATCCCTCAGGGTGTTTAGGGTGTTTTAGGGTTTAGGGTTTAGGGTTTAGGGTTTAGGGTGTTGAGGGTGTTGAGGGTGTTGAGGGTGTTGAGGGTCTAGTGTTTAAGGGCTTTGGGCTTTAAGCCCGAGATGACGTATACTAACACCCGAAGCAAGTGTCCCAGAAGTCTTTATATTGACCCAAACCCTAAACCCTATATCCCCAGCCCTACACCCTAAAACCCACGCCCTAAACCCCACGCCCCCAACCCCAACCCCCACGCACTAAACCCCAAGCCGAGTATACAGAGTCTAAAAGAGGGTGTATAGGGCGATTACGGGCGTATTCGGGTATCGGAGGAACCAACAGGAGTCTTTCTCAGGCCTAGGGAAACTGGGGATGCCGGCTTCGGCTGTAAGCTATCAGAAAGTGAGGGAAAACCCTATCGACTCTAAACCCTACATCCTAAATCCTAAATCCTCAACCCTCAACCCTAAACCCTCAAACCCTACCATGCGAATAATCAAAAACGGTGCTGAGGCTTGGTGTTGCTGCTTTGGAAGCCGTCCGGGTCCGTGTTCTTGGATCGGATTTGCATACATCAGACGGATGAGGACTATTTACTGAAGAACCCCCTCCCCCCACAAAAGAACAAAAGATAATGCTTCCTTTTGCCCTTACAAGAAAGAATTCTTGAGGATCTTAAGCCCTAAACCCTAAACACCAAGCCCTGTTTACAAGCAACGTCAGCCCCAAACCCTTAACCCAATGCGGTTTTAGGGTTGTTTTCTGGCCGAAAAACCTGAACCCGAAACCCTAAACCCTAAACCCTAAGACATGAGGAGCTCAAGGCAGCCGGGATCCTGAGTATCGGTGGCTTCTTGAAGCACTCTGAGTCCATGCTGGTGCTTTTCGACCCAACCTATACGACACTCGGTAGGGTTTAGGGTTTAGGGTTTAGGGTTTAGGGTTTAGGGTTTAGGGTTTAGGGTTTAGGGTTTAGGGTTTAGGGTTTAGGGTTTAGGGTTTAGGGTTCAGGGTTTAGGGTTCAGGGTTCAGGGTTCAGGGTTCAGGGTTCAGGGTTCAGGGTTTAGGGTTCAGGGTTGACGGTTTAGGGTTTAAGGCTGGTGCTTTTTGACCCAACTTATACGACACCAGGTAGGCCCTTGGAATACTTTATAGTTTCCCTTGTTTTAAGAGGGTTTAGGGTTTAGGGTTTAGGGTTTAGGGTAGGAACATCGTTTTCAGAGGGGCTTGAGCGCCATCCTAGGACAAGGCTGTGGACAATTTTCGAGCTCGCCGCGTTTTTGAAAGCTCATGGGGATGTTGCTCATGCCTTGATCATCCGACCAACTTTCTTAGCCACAGCAGCGGTGGGAGTGTTTGTTTTTCTAGCCCTGATCGCGATCTGCATCATGATTGCAAGCTATGCTGAGATGAGACAAACTCTTCTGGTGCTCGTGTTTGTGGAATACTTGATCTTTGCTTGTGGCGGCCATTGGTTGCGTGGCTACTTTCAGCAAGTCGATGAATGCTTCGAAAGGCTCCAGAATTTCAGCCTGAAGGAGGCCAACTCACACTGTTGTACTGTGGATCACGTGGACATCTTTGGGAACCCCATGCCGTGTGACCGGAAAGTCATCACAGAATGCATTCGCAGCTGGTTTGGCAGCGAGGAGCAGTTTGAAGCCGAGGTGAAGTGTCGAGTATCTTCCGCCTTTGTGACAGGCTTCATGGTAGCCCAGTGGTACCCTTGACCCCCTTTTTTGGTTCTGTGTTCCCTTATAACGTAACCAACCAAAAAGAGGGGTACCCTTATTGTACGATGGCTACTGGGGCTGCCAAGGCTTAGGCTATTATGCAGTGCCCTTTACCTGGTTCATGGGGGCGAGCCTGCCGATCTTATGGGCCTACCTCGACTTGATGGTGGCCAGGCTTCGTGAAGGGGAATGGTTCTACACTTTGGTGAGCTTCCTTTACACCTTGATCATCTGGTTGGGCAATGGTCCTTTCGGCTACTTCATCTGCCTCATGTGCGCGTACACGCTTCGCAAGAGACGCGCCATCTGGTGCTTGGACTGTGCCGTGACTCTTCTTGGCACGGGCTTTATGGTGGTCCTGAGTTTGGCCATGCACGCCATCGGCCCGGTGCTGCGGGCGCACGCGGGCGACTTGCCGGGAATGATCCTGTGGGGCATCCTGGTGGCATCTTTCGCTCTCTTTTGGCGATGGCTTTGGCTTCGCGCCATCACGAAGAACCACACGGAGTCATAGCGGTTTCCGCACAGGTCGTGGGCTGCGTCCGCAGACTTCCGAAGGAAGGTGCTGCTCCGAGGCGCTCAACATGATCCTGAATGCTCGAGTTCCGAGTGCTCGAGTTCGGCTTGCCTCTCCTGCCGTTCGAAAGAGAACGTCCTCTAAAAAAAACCCGAGTCGAACTTCAGGGCTTAAGGGGCTATGGTAAAAAAACGGACACTAGTACTCTAAACCCTAAACCCCAAACCCTACAAACCCTATAAAGCCTAAACCCTACACCCACTTTGCAGACCTTGGTGGCATGAGAACATTCACATCTCGTTGCCTCTGTGGTGTGTAAACCCTAAACCCTAAACCCTAAACCCTAAACCCTAAACCCTAAACCCTAAACCCTAAACCCTAAACCCTAAACCCTAAACTTCGGCAGGGGCCAGGACTCAAGAATTCAGGGATTTAGGGCATGCTTGGAGGGGTCTAATCTGGGTTGTTGGGTTTCTGGGTTTAAGGATTTCATGGGTGGCTTAGGGTTTAGGGTTTAGGGTTTAGGGTTTCGGATTTATTGCTTAGCCCTCAACCTTCAGGGCTAGAGTGAGAGTTGCGTGTTGAGGTAGACTGCAGGACAGTGGCAAGATTCGGTCGGTCACATGCGCAGCGATAAGGTTTAGGAAGATTTCTGTAGACGCTCCTGAACCGGAAGCCCTAAACTCTGAACCCCACCCAAG